TCGGACGAACCTCCGACTCATCGCTGACGGACACATCCGTTGATACGTCCATCGAAGTATCCATCGACGCGTCCGCATCTACATCTTTCTCCCGTCCCTCAACTTCAACCTTCCTCCTCGGCGGCGCAGCAATACTCCTCGCCTCACTCAAAAGATGCGCATACCTGGGCGCACCAAGCACACCCGGCATCTTGATCCCCGGCGCCGCCTTCCCTGCACCCATACTCAAACCCAAGCCTTTCCTACCCTCGAAAGAAGGCGCAGGAAGCTTGACGGGTGTAAAGTCCGGTACGACGGGCGAAGCGCGTCGGCTTCCTTCAGGCGTAGGCGGTGCGGGTGTACCGGCACGATGTTTCTTGAGCAACGCGCGTGCGCGGGCGAGCATCTCTTCGTAGGTCCATCCTTGGCCCATACGCTCGAGACCCTTCATCTCGTTCGAAAGGTGGGAAGGATCAGCGCTGTGCTCAAAGAACGCGACGAAGCGACCAATGACTACCGGGAGACTGATAGCATCGACGTCCGAGAGCTCGCCTGGTATAGTGGACTGCGCCAAGCGCTCGTCTGTGATACACGCGTCGAGGAGTTTCCAGTCTGAACGCGCCCATGTCCGCGGGCCGGCAGTGTCGATCTCCGTACGTCCGTCAACACTGGAAGAGACAGAGAGCGATGGCGATGGGGTACGGTATTCGTCGGCGGCCTTCGGAGCGTCGGGATGGGAGATCGAGCGGTCGGCTGAGGCGAAGAGGTCTTCGCGCGTGCGAAGTGGTGCAGGCGAGCCGGGAGTGACGACTGTCCCGTCAAGTACAACGCCGCGCAGCTCGCGGATAGCCTTCGCCTTCGACTTGGACTTAGAAACGCCCGACGAGCCCAGCATCGCACGATTTGTGCGCTTGAAGAGCGTCTGAAGGTCCAGTCGGCGCCGACGCGGTGCGAAGGGGATTAGGTCGTATTCGTGCTGGGTAACGGTACATCAGTACAGCTTGTCTAGAAGATGAGGGGAAATGACAAACCTGCTTGAGGATAGCAGCGGCGCGGGCGGCCTGCCATGGGTCGTCGCTGACGATCTTGATAACGGACGCATCGCCCTCTCCCGGGTCAGAGCTATCACCATCATCACTGTCCGCATCCTGCACCTCAGCATCCTCTTCATCGTCCATCTCTTCCTGCATCTCTTCCTCCGCCATCTCTTCCTCTTCATCGTCCTCCTCAGGCTCCTGCTATCAACGAAAATCAGTTGAAACGTCTTGCTACTGCGAGAGGAAAAAAAAAGGAATGTCACGTACCCTGAACCGTACACTCCCCTCACCCTTCTGAGGCGTAAGCAAAACATCGACAATAGCCTCGTCCCTCTCATCCTCCTCCCTCTCCATCATCACCACCCTCGAAGGCTTCTTCAAAATCGATCTCGGCTTCTGAACCTTCTCATTCGCAGTCCTCGTCTCCACGATAACTTCTTTCTCTTTGCCTTTGAGACTGGTAGGAATAGGAGCGGCCTCGGGTGAGATCGAGAAACGCTGGGCGAGACGAGAGACGGATGCGGATGGTGCTAGACGAGGTGCGTGTGAGGAGATGGGACGTGGGGCGGGTGTAGGCGTCGCGAATGCTGGCGTAGGTGTATCGGGTTCAAGCTCAGGCTCGTGTGCCATAACTGGTGTCGCGGGGGGCGGCATCGACGTCGATGGGCCGGCTTGAGGCGCGTCGAAAGCAGACGTCGAAGCATCCCAAGCCGACGTACTCGCCTGACCAGGCGTAGATGGTACTAATCCTTCACCATCCGTAGATCCCTCCCAGCTCCAAAGTCTAGTCTGAACACTAGGCGACGCGTGCTGTTCCACGAGCTCGCGTACGCCACGACGTTTGACAAGTCCCTCGAGTCCTCCCTTCCCTGCAGCGCCTGAGGAAAGACGGGCGACGAGGGGGCTGTAGACGGGTGGCTTCTCCGCTACTGCGACGCGGCGCGGTGGGCGTGGAGATGATCCTGCGATCGAGGGCGCTGGGGAGGAGGGTGGGAGGTTCTTTGAGGGTGATGGGACGCGGCGGGGTGGGGCCATTAGAGTCGAGCGTTCGGTAGACGTTGACGCAGTAGAACCAGACGCTGAGGGTTGAGTAGACGTAGAACCAGAGGCATGAGTAGAAGATCCAGAAGTTGAAGCAATAGGCTGGACATCATCAGGCGACCGCGAGTCGTACCCAGAATCCGAAGATCCTTGAGCATTCGCGATCGTACTGCCACTGCCACTCGCCGCTACATTGGCGCTGGTGAGACTAAGCCACGGGCTCCGTGCGCTGCCGGCGCTACGAGAGGGTAAAAGCGGGCTCCTCGTCGCCTCGGGCAACAAAGGCGCGCTCTTCATGGGTGCAAGTTGTGCGCTGCGCGTAGGCAACGCTGGCGTCTCGGCCGCAGGCGCATGGCGGCGCGGTGGTGTTGGTGCGCGAGCGGGTGCGGGCGGGTCAGCATACATCGACTCCATGTCATCTTCTTCGTCTTCCTCAATGGGAGCCGGCGCAGGCGCAGGCGAAGGGGGTAACGGGTTCTCCTCTACAAGCGATACCTGCTCACGCGCAAAGCTCTGCTCATCGAGTTCCATATCCTCCTCTCCCTCGCCTTCCTCATCCTCGTCACCCTTCTTCGCTCCTTCATCTTCCTCGTCATCTTCGAAATGTGGTACCTCCCCGACATCTCCTCCTTCCTCTTCATCCTCTCCCTCAGGCAACCTCCCAAGCGGATGCCGCCCATTCTTCGGGAAAGGACTCACAGGCCGACCCCAGCGCTCGCGGCGTGCGCGAGTGGTGCTAGTAGGCGGGTCTGCGGTCGTCGGGATACGCGCTTGAGTGAAGCGGCCGGTGTATGTAAGTACACCTTCATCTTCCTCTTCCTCTTCCTCGTCATTGTCGGAGCGCTTGTTCAAGCGCTCGTAAGGAGAAGGCGCAGAGGGGGCAGGTGTAGCCGGGACCTCGGCGTGTGCTTCGGGAGATGCCGCGCGTGGAGGTGTTGGCTCGCGTGGTGGTTCGAAATCGTATACGGGCTCAGGCGACGGCGCGCGGTATTCGTTCTCCTGCTCAGGTTCAGGCATCGGAGGCTCTGGCAGCACATCTGCTTCTTCCTCGCCCTCGTCGACGCGCTCCACTTCTCTCGGCGTGAAATAATCCCTCGCCTTTGCCCTCTCCTTCCTAAGAGCTGGCTCGCTCTCCACCGCTACAACCTCATCCGACGCCCTCCTCGCATGCTTAGACCCAGACCTAGATTTCTTAGCAGAAACAGGTGTAGGCTCTTCGCTCGCAGCCTTCCTCGCACGCCGGCGCGCACGTAGTAAAATAGGATCGTCACTCGGACTCGGAGGAGGCGCAGGTTTCGTAAGGTCGATCTCAGGCGGTTCCTTCTTAATCGCCAATGTACTCGGCCTAGCTTTATGAGCACGCGACGAAGAAGTAGGCTTAGTGGGCGAGGGAGTGGCGATGATAACGCGCGGAGGAGTGAATCGCTCGCGTGGAGGTGAATATCCTCGTCCGGGCGTACTACTCCTCGCACGACGTATAGCAGCGCGCGAGAGTGCCGTGGCTGGTACAGGTGGGATATAGTCTGCTTCGGGGTTGGCCGAGTGAGGGGATAGTAGTGTGGTTGACGGGCCGGCCGTCTGCTGTTCTTCTTCGATATCGGGCGTGGGTGAGGCGTCGTCTTCGAGAGGCGGGGATGGACGAGGATGTTTGCGTGGTTTACGACGTGTCCGGGGTTGAGATTGGGAGGGAGCTTCGTGGTCCGAGTGTTCGTCTTCGCTTACTCGGGCGAGCGAAGTCTGTGCGCGCTTGCGTTTGGGTCGTTCGACGGGCGCTGAGCCTGCGCGGCGTGGGGTCTGCACACGCTCAGTATACAAATCGTATAATCTGATAGTAATACTGACAGTTTGAGACTCTGGAGGAGGACTGATAAGCGTCTTGGCCGGGTCCGCCGGCGCAGCTTCATTATCGACATCCATGCTCTCGAAAGTACCTTGAGGCGTGAGCAGCCCTTGGTTCTGCAGTGTCGCGCGGAGGGGCTTCAAAGGTGAAGAAGCAGAGCGCATGGTCTTTCGAAGAGACGCTCGTGGTCGTTGCGGTGAAAGCGCGTCGTTCTCACTCATCGATGAGCTTGTGGTTGGGACGAAGGCACGAGGCGGAGACAATGCTGCGAAGGCCGAAGCGCTCAAAGTTCGAACCATACACGTGCGGCTTTCCCGCGCCCTCCAGTGCTTCTTTCGCTCAAGCCACCATCATCTACTTTGCTCGACCACTGATCCTGTACGACTATGTACGCTCTGCTCGACCAGATGTACTCTGGTACTGGCGTGCCGACTCGTGGAGCAGCCAGCCTCGCCGCTGACGCGTGTCTCGGCTCTTATCGCTCGCGTGCCACACAATACCGACGCGCGCCCATTGTTCATTTTGTTCCCATCGTCCGCTACTAGACTCGCTTCCCTCTTCCGACTTCGACTGTCGATCATTTGCCTGCATCTATTGAAGCCAATGTATTGCAAAGATACTGGCTTTGAATGTCTCACTTGTAGGTTATAGCATCCCTGGTAGTATATCGGCTAGTACACCCGCTTGTCAACAAGCGCCTGCGGTTCTGAGTTCGCGGGAGAGCGGGGTTCGACTCCCCGCCAGGGAGATGTGCGTATGTCATAGTTGATTTTGTTTTTGTTGGCTCTATGACTCTATCAGAGTATCAGTGGATCCCATATTGGTTATGACGATAGGCATGTTATGCAGTATTTTTAATGTTGGGATGCCGATAATGATGCTGTCGAATCATCTGACAATGTACACTGCACAGGCAACCAAAGACGACAAGTCAAGCGAGCTAACGATCGGAGGCGCTACTACTGCCAGGCGATCTCTGACGAATCGAATGTGAGTAAGGTACGCATACTATAAGTTCAAGTCGGATGTCTTGACTTACACGAGGCTTGGTAGTATCCTACACGGATAGGGCGATGTAATGATAGATGGCGCAATGCGCAGACACGCTCAACCGTGCAAGGTTCCCGTCAAGTTCCCGCCGGGAAATCCGTAGAGTCCGCACCGCAGGAACACAAGGCGGTGCTCGTCACTGGTCGACGCCTCTCTATTGCTTACTCCCATGATACAACGTCTCATTGCAGAACCCGTCTATTCCCGAGTTCTCATCAGAATCGCACATCTCAACTTCTCGAGTGCTTCACGGCCAGTCAAGTTCGAACTTGGATTCAGGGCTCTCCGTTTTGATCTCGCGATGAAGATACAGATCGGGATCGGCAGGATCGAGGGAACGAGGGCATTCGCCGAAGTTGCCGGGCTCGACCATGAAGAAGTTGTCGAGTAGGTCGTTACACGCCGCTAGCGGCAAGCTTCTACGAGGTGTAGCTCCGCTGCCGCAAGCCGCCTGAGCCTCGTTCGGGATTCCGCGAACCCCGATTTCAATTCCAGATGCGAGTGGCCCCAAGTCTAAAACGATGCTTGTCTCCAAGATCGGGCGAGTGTCGCACTGGGCGTCGAAGCTGTACGTGTACAATTGTCAGGCTATACGTGCCTTTGACTGCTGACAATCTATCGGGGTATCGAACTAGAATCGAGCAGCTTGAGTCTTCGCGGCTCCGTTACTTCCGCTCTGGATACGTTCAAGTTCGTCATCGGACGAACAAGGGCGCAGCTTCCAATTCGATGCATGTGCGTTGTTGAGGCTGTACAGTATGAGACTGTAGCAGACTCCAATCGGTTCGGTGTACAAGTCCTCGTGTTCCTCCCAAGAGAGACTCTACTATCCATCATAACCCGAACTTCTGCGCTGGTTTGGGCCACGGGAGCCAGAGGGCTGTGCAGTTGACTGTTACCCATTACTCATACGTGTACACTGCGCGCGCTAACACTACTCCTAACTTCCTTTGCGTCCTGTGTTGAGAGCGTTCATCCGCGCGGGAGGCCGTGCAACCTTTCTACTGCTCCCATACAATCCGTCAACACTCCGACGAATGCCGAGTAGTACTCGGATGCTAACACTTCTGCCATAGGCGCCTGCCCCGACAATCTGCTGTTTCCATCTGTCACTGGGCGAATAGTCGAGGCTGTGTAATTGTCTACTTGCTTTCACCGCGATTACTCCCGGACAGCCCACGAAGCTTCGTATCCCCTCCGCCCTGGGCGTTTGGGATTGACCACGTTGACGCTTCAATCCGGCTATACAGCGAAAAGTACGAAAGCTGTGTAAAAGGATTACTATTGCGTGCACAGCATACGTTGGGGACATCTCAGATGCCTACCGAATATGCGTATTCCTCAAGCTCCGGTTCGGGGTGGTCATCATCGGATGGCTTGAACAATCTCTTACTTCGATTCGGGTACTTACACTGTAGCTCACAGTTAGGCAGAGTAGGCTGTGCAGGTTTCAATGCATATACGGTGTGTCATTACTCTTCTTGTCATGTTCTATCTTCAAGGCGTCTCTGACGCCTCTGCAGACTCGTATCCGCAGTAATGATACATCCGACTCGGGGTGAAAAGAGACTCTACTGCTTAGCTTGAGCGAGTATTGCACATTCTGGGAGTACGTCTGGGACGTGGCCTCTCCGCCCAGGAACTCCGTGGTCTAGCGAGTTGCTTCGATGGGGCTGTGCACATCTCTACTTGCCTACACTATGTTCACACTATGTCCGATCCCACTGGCAAATGCCGCGCTCCACCCTGGGCCTGAGCGCTTACCCTGGATGATTTGACCTTTAGGCACAACGCGTGTAAGCTATGCGATCCGGAGTCTTGCAATCCACCCGCGCAGATCTATGGCCTCCATTCTCGTCGAATGCTGGCGCTAAGGCTCATGCTTCTTAAGTCGGGCGTACAATCTTGCCTTCCTCACTCAGCCTCTCCCCTACTCGACAATCCATATATCACGGACAACACACTCCAGCCACAGACATATCTTCACCAGATCCGCTCCTCTTCCTCTACCATTCCTCGAGATATGGCGAAACCTCTTTCACCGTGCAAGTCCTCTGTTCTCTCAGCCAATGCTGGAGAACAGAGCCAGACGTGCACTACGAATGCAGTTGGGCCTGGAGATAGAAGGTGGTGGTTTGTGCGTCTATACTTCTGCTGCCTTGACTTGGTGAGTAGGACACTATGAGCGAAGGATGACTAGCGTATAGCAGGTCTAATATATCCTGCCAGATGTTCCGTCAGTCAAGCCAGTCGGCGCATGCGGGAGCTCATTCTGACGATGTAGCCTTCAAGTCGGCAAGTTGTCTCCGTGGTGGTATTGTACCGGATGCTCACCATTGACCTTCTGTGTACGTTCTCTAGACCTCATTTGTGCTTGGTGACACTCCCGAGTACCATTCGCGGTCCGACACCGAGACCACCAAGGCGGTGCTCGACGATAGTCAGCATTCCGATGAGCAAGCTGCAACTCGCATGGGGAGAGATAACGAGTCAGGGCTACCGAGAAGAAGCGCGAGAGGATTGAGCTTGCCCGTGTTCTTGACGATTGTCAGTTTGTTTTCCCTGATCATATACACCGACGCTTACTTCGCTCACGCAGATGGGCGGGATCATCACGTTCACCATCGTCGTACTGTCTCTCAACTTCGCTGTCCATGGCTCAGATTCAGCGGGTCATACGGTCTTGCGCATACTGTCCCGCGTGTTCAGCGCAGTTGGACTGGTCTATGCCCTCGCTGTCTCGTTGTTTGTCGCCCTCGTTGCTTCGACCAGCGAGGAGCCCGCGTTTCGAGTTGAACGTCGGCGTTGCGTTCAATTGCTTATACCCAGTATCGTGTGTAATATAGTTGGTTTGGCGTTTGTGATCGTGGAAGCCTAGGTTAGGTTCTCAGACCCCCCTGTATTGTTCAGACGTCTGTAGTCGCTATACCCTCCAATGCAGTCTTAACCTTACAATAATAGTTTCGGTTTCGGTTTGGTGAAGCGTACGCGAGATCGTCTGTACATCACTGAACCGCATAATGACACGTGTGTATTCCAATTATTCGTTCAGCCATGACGATCCTTCTAGTGACTTGGACTGCGCTATTAGTGGTATGGACCGTACGATATCGGCGAGCTCGTTCTCGTGCTCAAAGAGGTCCAACGGGAATTCTATGGTGATCGACACCGCGGGATAGCCATCATCGGGATCTATACCGTCTCCTGCGGGCACCGCCGTGACAGGATCCACGAACATCCAGGGCAACTTGCAGAACACGATGATGTTCACGCTATCCCCAGTTTCCTTGACATCGACATCGGAGGAAGGAAGGAGAGACGCAGGGACGTCGGCCAAGTGCGCCTTTAACGAATTTCGCATGTCGACCCAACCTCCGTTCTCCATGTAAGACGCGTCGTCCGGCCAGCCTTCATTCGTGAGTAACAAGCGACATGTGAGGGGCAGCATGAGGTATTGAAGGAGAGCGGCGCCTTGTCGTATCCCTCCGCAGATCTCAAGCCAGTACATGTGCTTCATACGAGCACAGCGAAAGGGATGGGTTGAAGAGGGCGTTGGGTCGAGTATCAGGTCACTCGCGTTGGAATAGAAGGATTCGAGGGCAGGCATAGCGCTGAAGGTAGCAACCATGTCGTCTATGTTGTCCCAGAAGGTGCATTGTGTAACGTTGATGGTCGTGAGCATGGGACCTCGGAGTATATGGGATGCTTGTGCAAGGTTGCACTGTGTAAGTCGGAGATCGGCGAGCTGTGGGAGCGGGTTGCTGGCGAAGAGATAGGTTGGAAGAGGTATCACGTCGTCCGTGAATTCCAAGTCGAACCGAGTAAGATGCGGACAGGCGACGGAAAGAATAGTGAAGAGAGCCCTGAAATTTTCGCGGGTGACCGTATCTAAGTCACCGAAAATGGTGAACTGCCCAGCGCGTTGTATAAACGGAGTCAGAATATCGACGGAGTCTTTGTCGAAGTAGGGTCCTTGAAAGACAAGTTGAAGAGGTGCTTTTCCGGCGCGTCGTGAGCATTCCTCCCACCAGTATTCGTTGTTGTACGGGATGGCGCGCCAGGCCGCGGGAGCCGAAATTGCAACGCTGCGCCAGCGGTGACAAGTCTGCGAGAGACGGTATGCTGGAAAGCTCTTGGAGCAAAACTCCCCGTACCACGAAGAACATCGTGGTAGGTACTCGACGATGTAGTGCAGCAGCTCATTCGGGAGAGCGAAGGTTGGCCGGCGATTATTTGCCTCGTACCGCGTATTCCATTCCCCGTCGAGATCTTGTGGTAGCGTTGACTTGACAGTATTGAAACGTGTGATAGAGTCGATGTCGGACATCGAAGCACCCGTCATGGGTGTGATGATGAACGTTGGGACGGCTGTAGAGGAAAGGAAATCTATAGTGAGTGTCGAGCTCTTCCAGTCGAATGAACGTAGGATATCTTACTTGACCCGAACTCCGACTACTCACAATCCAACTAGATACGCGCGCCTACAATACAGCCTATCCGCTGAGGGTGGAGTGGGGTATCGCGACCAAGTCCGAGGTGGTGGCGAATCAAGAGACGGCGTGCATTGTAGTAGATTGTAGCGCGTCGACTCCCGGCGACTGCCGTCCGGTCAGGCGCGGGAGCCTCTTGGATATTATAAAGTCCTATCTGGCGGCAATCAAACAAACCCATGTGTGGGATACGAGGAAACCCCCGACA